ACAGTAAGAAAAAGTCCACTGAGAAAAAAAAAAGATCTGATCAAAATTTTTGTGGATCAGAGAGAGAAGCAGAAAGAAACACATGGCGATAAGAGCGTACCTCTTGTGTTCGAAGGTTATAAGGGGGCTGTTCGCGGCTTTGGTGGTTGTAGTAATGCTGGTGGCGGAGGATCTCATTTGTTCCTGGTGAGGTGGATCGATTTGATTGGTCTGTGAGGGATGTCGGTGACGGAACGAGAGGATCTTTCGGAGATTTTTCTGCTTCCTTGAATTCCTGCAACGGAAAAAACAATGGACTACGAAAGAAAAGGAGATAAAAGAGAAAGAGAGAGAGAGAGAGAGAGAGAGAGTTTGAGGTTTGGTCGTTAGGGAGAAGGGAAGTGAGGGAGTGAGAGAAGGGAGAGTAATGGAATGACAGGGCACATGCAAATGGGCGAGATTAGCGTCACCTTATTACCATGTGGGTGATTTCTTAACACGGAGATCGAAGACGGGGAAAAGGCACGATCGGCAGCAACTCTTTGACACAGAGACCAGAAAAATAAATAATAATAATAAAATTAACAGAGTTGAATTTTCAAAAAATAATATTTTTTTTGAAATTATAACTATTTATAAATATAAATATTTAATATATTTTAAAATATGACGAATAAAGAATTTTGAACTAAGTAAAAAAAAATTTTAATGAAAGTTATACAATGAAATTAAAATTCTTATTTATATATCTTAGAAATAAGATGAATAAAGAATTGTGAACTAAGTGACTCATTTCCTATTAATGAAAGTGATTTAATGAAATTACATTTCTTATTTATATATCAGATAAATCTTACTATTATAGATTTGTTATTATAATTAATAAAAAAAACTTTAACATTAAACTTGTCAATTGAACTTTGATTAATTATCGTCACTTAATATAACAAAATAATAATACTAAGTACTGCTAAAAGACAAGATTATTAATTAACTTTAGGGTAAAGTTAATTAATTAATTAATAATTATCTTTGTTCATATTTACCATTTTCTCCCTTTTTGTCTCACCAAATAATAATAATAATAATTATTATGTATCCAATTGCTACAGGCAATTCAGCAATTCCTTGTCCGTATTATCATTGTGTCGGCAATGGGGATTATTTATTGAAAATGAAATGTTGTTAGCTGTCCTATTTATATACTTTTCACAATGACCCTAATTTAGTATCATAAAAAATTATTTAAAGATCAAAATAAAATTATAATAATAAAATAAAATTAAGGTATTTATGTTTTTATATTTTTTAAATAAAATAATGTTTTATTTCATATATATTTTATAAAAATAAAATATTAAATAAAATGTTACGAATTCACGTTTTTAATTTAAAAAATATTTTTCGTAAATACATTTTCTTTGCTCAGCTTTAAAAAGGGAGAGATCTTTATATTAGTAAGGTTACATCGATCGATCGTGATATTTCTTATAAGATCTTGTATTAATGAAGATTTTAATTTATTTTAATATCATTTATTATAAATTTATATTTTTAATTTAAAAAATACATTTATCAAGTAAAAAAATATTTTATTTATAAATTTAAAATTTATTTTATTTTTATTGATATGAAATTCGTAATAAAAATATTAATTAAAACAAAAAAATTATATTCCCTAAAATCTATTTAAAAAATATCAGTTTTAAAGTTTAGAAATTGCCCTAGATATTTATTGCATTAGCAGTGGCATGCATAAAAATGTGTAGGCTATACCAGGCATGTGGGACCATGGCCATCAGTCCTATAATTTCAATATGGATGGATATCTCTTACAAAAAAGTTGCTCTTTTTGCCTTATCCTTTTCTCATGGCCATCTTAAAGAGGATAAATTAGATTTTTGCTTTTCCCCTTTTTGCAATATTATTTTTAACCTTCTTACTAATCCTCTTTTTTAATGTATCAAAAAGAAAAATATTTTATTCCAAATAAATATGAAATTTGATTCAAAATTATCAATAAAAAAAGGGTTCAATTGATTTTTTGTTTATTCAATAATAAGTGAGTTTTTATTGATATATTAATTCTGAATGTTCATTCTCTCATAATATATAACCATTTCCACCTAAATAGAACAATTCAATTATCATTGAGTTTTTTCATAAAAAAAAATTATCAATTAAACCACTTGAAATTACATGTACTACTTTATCAAATTTGATATTCCGAAAAAAAATAAATAACAAAAGAAAAACTTCATTTATGTTTCATTTGGCTTAGAAGTAATATGAAGAAAACAATTTGATTTTAATTTTCAATAAAACAAAATAGTAAATTTTATTCAAACTTTGACAAAATAAGCAACAATTTTATAATCTCAATTAGGTAAATCCCATTTCAATAATGATAGAATAATGAGTTTTATTTGTATTATTATAATAAAAGGGAGACAAGTTGTTCTTTTTGTGCATACTTGTCAAAATAAAACACCTAATTAGATTGTTGGAGGGGTCCAATCTAAATAGCATGGGAGACAATTATTCATTTGTTTGCACACTTTTAACCTTAAAAGAAATCATATAGAGAAATCCTCAACCCCTTTCACTGATTACCCCAGCAAAGCCACATGCTATACCTTTTAGGTCCAGAAAATTCATTAACTTTCAGCATTTGGTAGACCTATAAATCATATGACCCTTTCTATTTATGGCCCTATCGCCTTCAATCATCAATGTTTTCTCACCACCAACAAGAAAAATGTAACATTGATCATATCATACAAAATTTAAATTATATAATCAAATGTTTTTTTTAATCACGTGATATTGATATAAATAATAAAAATATTACATGTTATGATATTATTTATTATATTATGTTAACATGTCACATCAAAATCAAGTAATATAATAAAATAACAAGTGAAATTTTAATTAACAATAATTTGTCAGTTGATAGTTATAGTGTTTATTTTATCAAAAATAAAAATATCAAAACTTAATGGAATGTAATTAAAAAATAAAGATATTTTTTGAATTTTTTAAAATAATTAAGAGACTTTTTTTTAAAGTATTATACTAATTTAAAAGTTGGGAATTCTCAAAAATAAATATTCATGATACTAAAAATATTTATTTGCAACAAATTTTTATTTCTATCTTTACACATTGTCCCTTTGTATAAGTATTATACATTGATAATATATCAAAAACAAACTCTTAATAATATATATAAAGTACTATAAAATAAATCAATAATAAAATTTTAAGATTCCGTATACAAGTTGAGATAAATAACATATATTTATTTATTTATGTATAAGTGATCATATTATTTTATTAATTTCATTAAACCAAACCCACCCCATACTGTATAAGATTTTTTTTATATAAAATTTGATCTCTTATCCCTAAATCTAGGAGCATGCACCCTTGAATTTATGGGAAAATATATATGTAAATTATTCATGTATTTTTTTTTTTTGGTATTGTGAATTTATGGCTTGAAAAAAGTCACATGGAATTATATGAATGTAGATACGAAAGCTTCCTATTGAGTGTGATATGTACAAAAGTTTTGCTTCCATCTTACAACTTTTCATGATGGTATCCAATGCCTTTGCAAAGCCTTGACTTTCAATGCCAACCCTTTTTTTTTTTTTTTAAAGCATGAACTACTTTCAAGGCATAAAAATGGGAGTTACATGTCTCGTGAGCAAGATTCTCTTCTCCCTTCACTTGCAAGAAGCATAGCTACTTTTATATTAGTAAAAAATAAGATGAGACTTGAACTAAGTAAGAAATTTTTTTTATTTAATAACTATATTTTTTAAGTTTAAAATATAGACCCGTATAATGACAGATCTAAGATTTTGCTTAAATAATAATTAAAGGGTAATCATACAAACTTAAAGATTAAGTCAATAATTTGATTTAGAGCAAATATTAATCAATTTTAAAAAAATTATAATATAAAATTAAACTACCACTACCATTTTTGATTCATAAACTCGTAACAAGTAATGTTAGATCTTATTCAATTTTTCACTAATATGATATATTTCATGAAAAATATTAAAGTCGAGGTAAGTTTAGATTAAAGTAGATCTCTTTTCTATAAATGAAAGAACTAAAACAACGAAAACGTTATATAATCGAATGTGGAAGAATACTATGGATCTTATATTAATAACAAATTAAATACGTCTTGTATTTAGAGTTTTTTTCATTTAAAAAGTATGTTTTTAGGTTGAAATTATACCCCATGACACATATCTATGAATAATAAAACATTGATTTGTGAATTAAGCAATGTAATTAAGCTAGGAAGATTTGACTGCTACAAATTATCATTAGCTTGGATTAATTATTAATGATATTTCTTAATTAAGCTAGGCAGACACGACTGGTTCAAGTTTTTATCTTCGTAAAGTCTGTAGTTAGCAGATTGTCTTTGGGCCTGGGTAGGGCAAAAGGACATCCTTGTAAGAGAAGCTTTGGGCTCAATTTGAGGAGCAGGAAATGGCCTATGGATATTAGCCTAATAGGCTTAAGAGCAAGGATTATATATTAAAGAAAAACAATTATTCAGTTTAGAAGAGTGAAATAATTGAAAAAAATTTAATAATAAATTATAAAATTATAGATATTTAAATTGTTTTATTTTTTCTATAAAACATATATATTTTAAAAAATTACCCATTTAAAAATACATGCAACTTCTTCTTTTTCTTTTTGTTTTTTCGTCCATATGGTGGATGTTACGTATTCAAGTTGGACTGAATTACACTAGATTGAACTCTCTTTGAAGGGAATAACTAAAAGATAATAGGTTTTTACTTTTAAAATTTATACCAGTTAGATAATTAAATATAAGCTTTGCAAATTACATTATAACATCATAATTAGGTCCACTGCCCTAGGCTTTTTGACCCATGTTGGTACTCCATAATATTTGAATACCAAATAATGTAAATTAAAAATATATATACTTTTAAATTATAATTGTCCCTTCTTAACTCAAATATTATTGAGACTCGAAAATTTTAAATTTATTTAGCATCATATTTATAATTAGAACAGAATTTGATCTAACGATTGTGTATTATTTTTTACTTAATAACATAATTAGAGACAGATGAGCGAGATTTAATTTTAATTTTAGAGAAGCCAACCCAAAGGTTAAATATAAAATTTTATATTATTTTTTGTTAAAATGGAAAATTTAAATTTACATAATTCTTACTAATTTGTAAATAAATAACAATCACAACTTTTAATTATATTAGATGGATTTTTTATTTTTTTACTCAACTACATTAAAATCAATATATTTTATTTATGTGAATGATTAGAAATGAGAAATTAGTTGGATTGGTTTATCATAATTAAAAATTAAATAAATTAAATTTTTTTTAAAAATCAATCAAAATGGATAAAAAGAGACTAAATTGATAAATATTGAATTGGTTTGATCGATTTGATTTTAGGCCAAAAGAATTGAAATTTGATAACTTTTATTTCTTTGTAAATTACAATATTAAAATTTATAAGTTTTATTCAAAATTATAAAATATACAAATAACTTAAATATTTGTCATTTCATTTATATAATTATATCCTTTCATATAAGTCATCAACTTAACATTCAAGAGTTTTACATATTTTAAAATATATATAATATTAGTTAAATTTTTTGATCAATTTAGTCAAAAAATTTTAAGATCGACAATTTATTAAATAAACCAATTAAATCAAACTTTTTAAATTAATAGATCTAATAAATTAATCAGATTAAACCATTTTATTGAAATTACATTCGATTCGATTGGATCATTGGTTTAGTTTAATTTTGCTTAACCTTATGAACAATAATTTGAAAAAAAGAAAAAAAAATTACTTGCTTCTTCCTTTGTAAAGTCAAAGTTTAACAAGTAATTTTCTCATTAATATAAATTATTTAAAATTATCAATGTTTATTGAATAAATTATGTTTACTTTACAAGTTCAAGAATTTTAAGAGGGAATTTATGTATTCATAGAATTTATTTATTTATTTTATTAAAAAATGATAGAAAAAAGAGAGGAAAAGGGCGAAAGACGTAAAGGTGAGTAGCAGAACTTCCAAGGGGGCCAAAACTCGAAGCCATGTGAAGCTCTAGCGCATCGGTTATCATCTGCTCCATCATAAATAACCTTAAAAATTTAGAAAAATATAAATAAAAATAAAAATAAAGCCCAAAATGGCAGGGCTGAAGCTGAGCATGGCAGCCTCAATCTGCGTCAAACCAAGCAAATGGGTCCGAACCATAGCCACCACCACCAGCCGGGCTCCACCCTCACTCCACCTAACCCGGCGCACGATAGTCCCCTCGTCATCCTCGGCCCAATTTAGCATCCCCCTTCCCAATAAAAACCTACCTGTTTTTAGATTTGCCTCTCCCACCTGTTTGTCTTCCTCCGCAAAAAATAAAGGAGCCTTCAACGGGTCGGATTCCGGGTCTGGCGGCATTCTCGCGGATATGGATTTGGATTCCAAAACGTCTCCGTTGATGCAACAGCAGCAAGACCACCAGCCGAAGTTGTCTTCTTCTAATAATTCGTCTTCCAAAATTTTAACGTTGCCGACTATTTTAACCCTCGGCCGTGTCGCCGCCGTGCCGCTGCTAATCTTCAGTTGAATTTTCTTTTTCCCCTCTTTTTTAAATCAAACGTGGTCGTTTTATTTGCTTGGAATGTTTTTTATAACAATATTTAAATTGAATATTATCGATGTTAGGTTTTGTATGTGTTATTAATAATTTCCCATTGAATTTAATTTGAAATTTTTAATAATAATGAGAATGACGATTTGATATTTCAATTTTAATACAATGCCATTTGAATTTGTTGCTTTCTCTAAGGTTTGGAGTTTGGACCTTTAGTTTTTGATCTGTTTCATGTTTGGTTATAATCAGTTATTCAAGGTTTTACCTTCACATTCGTTTGAGTTGCTTGTATGTTGTAGATCATATATTCTGATTCTGATTCCTCTTTGAGAGACATATCATGTCCAATCATTGTGGTTATGTGTATGTCAGCCTTGTTTGTTTGCGATTTCCTTGTCTTCGTGCCTGACTTTTGTGTATGTCGGGGTGTTTTGTTTGTAATTTTGATGTCTCTTTGAGTCAGAGTATGAGAACTCTGTGATAATTTTGGAAATTTATAGCTTTTATTTGTATTTGAAATCTCGGCACAAGTGAATTATGATCAGTGTTGATAGGTTGCAATGCAATGTGGTTTAGATGGTGTAAGCAATCTATGGTTTATTACATATAGGTGTACCTTTGAATTCTTATTGGCAATTGCTAATTGCATTGCCAATGTGAAAGCTTTGTGGTGAGACTAACGATATGATTTGCATTTTCTTCTTTAGCCTTTTATGTTGATAGTTGGTGGGGAAGGACTGCTACAACTAGTATTTTTATTGCTGCTGCTGTCACTGATTGGCTTGATGGGTACATTGCTCGAAAGGTATGCCTTCCACTACAACCCGTTGATGAAATACAATGGAAGCCTTTCTTTTTCCCTTTGTTTTGTAAGAGTTTAGTCACTCTATTTAATTTTTCTGACTGAAATCTTGATGTCTTTCAGATGAGGTTACGTTCTGTCTTTGGTGCATTTTTGGATCCAGTCGCTGATAAGGTCTGTTCTTTCTTCCTTTGTTTTTTTGTCTGATCTTCTAAGTTATTTATGTGATACAGTTTAATTGCTGAAGTTTCCATGTTAACTTGTCTGAACCATTGAGCATTTCATCTGATCCCATGCCTGTTGAATGTAGCTTATGGTTGCTGCTACTTTGGTCTTATTATGTTCAAGACCTTTGAGTGTTGCTATGTTTGGGCAAGTGCCATGGCTACTGATTGTACCATCAATAGCCATTATCGGAAGGGAGGTAATGTATCCTATGGTTGACGTTCTTCTATACATGTATGAATTAGTTATAATATCTTACAAATAGTTGGCAATCTATTTGTAGATAACCATGTCGGCCGTTAGGGAATGGGCTGCTTCTCAGAATAGTAAGCTTTTAGAGGTGTGTTCCCATGGATGTCAATCAACTACCTAATTTATTGAGTTTTGCTTGTAGCTTATACCATAGGTTTGATGCATATTTCAGGCTGTTGCAGTAAATAATCTGGGGAAGTGGAAAACTGCTACGCAGATGGTTGCATTAACCATCCTTCTGGCTACACGAGATAGCAGGTTTATTATATTGCTTCCTCAACTGACATGAATATGATAAATGCCCAAACAAACCTTGTTGAATCATCCTTTTAGTATCTGACTGTTACTTTCTTTGTTTTTTTTTTTCTTGTATGCAGCCTCGGGGAACCTGGGATTTTAGTAGCTTCAGGTGTTATTTTGCTCTATATTTCAGCGGGGCTTTCTGTAATGTCATTAGGTGTGTATATGGGGAAGATATGGAAAGTATTAATAAAGTAGTTTTCTTCATCTGCCGCGTTGCATTGGCTTGTGTACTTTTGTTGCTCATGGTTTGCGGCTGATCTCTGATGTTACTTCTGGTCCTTTTCTGATGAATGTCTTCACATATTGAAGCTGGGTTCTTTATTTAAGTGGATTAAGGAGAAAGCCCTTGCTTTTTGAAGTTCACTCATATCGAAGTTACGTTTTAATTAAATAGTGTTGGTGATGGTAGTATCAATATATTTGTGGGCTGTGCCCATGTCTTAAATTTCGGAATTTTTTGGGTCAACACGATTGATGATGAGGGTTTAGATGTCGGACTGTGGTGTCTTTTATTTTTGTGGAGGATGCTGGGTACTGAAAGTAAGTTGAGTCCCAACAGAAGCACATTTTGCACTGTAATTTGCTACTGCAACTAGAGATGAAGAAACTCTTACTGAACGATTGGAGTGTACTTGTGTAAATGACAATTACTAATCAAGTAGCTGCTCGGAAGTTATACACAAGTAATAATACATACATATATGGGGCATATTATTTTATTTATAGCAAAAATTTCATACATGTTCTCCTTTTATGAACTCACAGTTTAATGATGATGATTTGATTATGAAATTGATATGAGAGCATTGTCAATAGTCTTTGAATATTCAGCATGCAGTAGGGTTATGCTCCCACTGGGTATTGAGCAGATTGTATCCCTCATGGAGGTTCCTGAGCGCGAAGCCTCTTCTTTGGAAGTAGTTGGATGTAGTTCTCTCTCTCTCTCTCTTTCTCTATCTCTCCATAGTAAGCGGATGCCATGAGTGATGTTTCTTCATGCATTTAGCTAATTGGATTGTTGGCATAACTAGATTTTACAGATATTCACATCAAGTTTCTGCCATACACAACAGATGCAGAAGCATATATTTTCATAAAGAGAGGCTTGTTATTCTGGTTAATAGTTCTTTCATTGTTTTAAGGGAAAACTTCATGCTTCCTTCATTGTTTTAAGGGAAAATTTCGCCTACATTTCGTGTGATTGGTTTCAAACTTTTTTCACATAGCATTCTATGATTTTATTTTTCAATAAACCACGGGTGTTGTATAGGAAAAACTGAAACTATAGAAGATGTAGGTAAAGTTCATTATTGTTTGGGTTGATAATAGTAGATCCTCTGTTCAATTAAGCAAAAATAGCAACTGATATTTCTCCATTTATTACCCATCTCAGCAGGCAAAACTTTAGGAAGTAAAACAACCCTTTCAATAGAACAAGTGGAGTGCCTATTAGTAGGATTTCATAGGTCATTTTGCATAATTGTTCCAACCCAGTTATATTCCCAGCATCAACAGGGGAGCCATCTTGGCAATAACAGACTCAGTTCTTCATTTCATAGTGAGGACAAGCAGAGAATCCCCAGTGTTCAAAGCTGAGCCTGCAAAAGAAACAAGTCAGAAGAAAAAGGGTGGAAAAAGTTCTACTACTGCTTAAGCTTTTAAACAAATGAAGTACCATGAAACGTTTCTTATAGCTCTGAACAAGCTCCTTTGGATCACTCTTGGTTTGTTTGTAAGCCTCGTTTTTGTTCATCTCCTGCAAAAGGATAGATTAAGACCAATTGAGATCAGAAGGCAATTTCAACATTGAACACATTTTCTGCTCAACAGTAAAACTTATTTGAACCATGGTGGGGTAATTTCTCAATGGTTGCATGGCAGAGGATGCTGCTGTTAATCATAGTCTATAATAATGCTATCTGTGTTCTAAGATCATGCTTCTATACTGAAATGGTAACTAATAGTTTGAGGGAGTGAGTAGAGATATATGTACTTACCATTGAACTATGTACTCGGGTGAAATAAAAATAAAGGATTAAAGTTTGTAATTTTGCCAAAATTTTAGAATTTGTCTAAGATAAATTTGAGAACAAATCGAGATTCCGTTTAGTTGATACTTTTTTTTATTTATCTTTAGTGTTTTATTTCGTTTTCTGTCGGAAAAAAAATAGTAAAAGTATCAATCAAACGGAACTTGAATAATCGTTAATCAAAGCTACAATCATCAAGTTAATGTCCACAATACCTTAACTTGCACCAGCAATCCAAATGCTCGGATATGGTAGCCATAACATTTGGGAATGGTAAGGCAACAAAGAAAAAAAAGAAAGAAAATCAAGCAATTATGGCAATACCTCAATCCAAGTTGCCAGTTTAGGCCTGCCAAGAGTAATGTCATACTTCTTCACATCCAACAAAAAAGGCTGAAATCTTTCGATGAATGGAGCATAAGCTATATCTACCTGGAGAGGACAGGAGATTAGTTTTTGTGACATGTTATGTGATTTTGTTCATTGGAAAAAGAAACCAATGTTTTACAATCTACTTTCTGATTCTTGATCAAGAACAATGATACAGTTTCTGTGACAGACAAGATTTTCGCTTACCAGACTAAACTGGCCAAGGAAGAAAGGTCCATCCTCAAACTTGGAAAGAGCTGTTTCAATGTAATCAAATGCGACACCTGGTGCAGTTTACGTATATGGTTCACAAAAGTTTAGTTACAGATTCCAAAATCAAGAGAAATAAGTGTTCGACTCACCAGCTTCGCTTCCATCTCCTTTGAATGAAGAAGTCGCTGTTTTGTAGAACGAGTCAATGTAGGAGAACAACTCTTCTGCAAACTCTTTCTTGGCTGGATCCTGTTACATAAAGAAATGAGCATGTAATGAAAACTACGGTACTAAGAAATAACTAATCAAGAATTTTTGAGATTTTACACAGGGGAAAAGTGACGGCCCGTCAAAGTGACTATCTATATACTTGATCAACTCGAGACTTTCTCCTTTGACTTCGTTATTGTGTTCCAATGCTGGCACCTACATAGATCATCCGTATAACTTAGTGCAGAAAAGAAAATTGCAGAATGTTTGTACTCAGTCATTTGACATTATTTTCTAGGTATATCAGCATCTCACGTTTAATCTCTATATACCGCTATCACCCTGTTGAGTCCATTATTCTGATGATCATCTGTATGTCATAATAGCAAAATTCAATTCTTAAACCAGTTTTAGCATATGCCATATCAGTTCTATTGATACTTTCCTCCAAGGAAATTTCATTGAATGAAACTAAAAGTTGTTTTATGAAATAATATTTAAGACAAATCCATGTTTATATTATACAATATATGATTAGGCATCCCGTCAAGTATATTGCATAGACACGTAGCCTCACCTTGTTAGCTGGGTACACTTTCTGCTTGTACCAAGCAGGCCTGTCCTTCAGATCAATTGGGACCAGTTTTATCTTATCCTGCAGTCCCTGCTTTCCAAAAAATATAAAACAAAAAGGAAAAATGTTCAATTCTAGACAGAAAATATCAAATGAGGCCAAATTAGCTTTGGCAAAGGGCTACTACCACATTCCTGAACCCTATCCTGAGAAACAATAGGAACTTGGAGAAGAGAAGAAAGAACTATTGAATATAAAGACCTTCCAATTAAAACTAGAGACTTATCTACTAAATCATGAAACTCTTAATATATACTGGCATTGCAGGAAGGGGGGTCTGTCTTTTTGCCATGTTCTGACCAGGGCCAAAAGGAATTCAAGGCCTGTGTTATCCAGTCATATATTAAGTCCTCTCTTTAAAAGTGGCAGGTAGCAGGAAAAGCTGATGCTTGGACAAAGCATGGTAAATGGGAAGAAATTAGGCGTCTAACTCGATATTTCAGCCACTGTTGGTTAACCGGAACAGGTGCACATGAAACCCAATTTTCGAGTCATATGCAGCTTGTTTAAGGCTTGCTAGCTTGTTTAACCAATCCTTTTCTTATTAGAGAGAGGGCGGGAAGAAGGAAGCGGGATCATAAAGGAAAACAGAAATTATTTAGATAAAAGATTGGCCAGTCACTTAGCAACATGTATATAACATAATTCCCATCTTTCCACAGTTTCAACTTAACAAAGGATAAAATCAAGCAAAACACAGATGATGAGAAGAGTTATGGAGACAACCTTACAGTTACGGGTAATCCACACTCGCTGTGCATACGGGCATGTATATGATATATACAACCTTCAACATATTAAAAATGGAAAAATCAGAACCAAATGCTTAATTACAAATTTAACAATCACACATTGAAACAGATAATAAACTAACAAACTCAACTGCAGATTGCTAAAATCCCACTAATAGTTTAACTAATTGAAATAAAGTGAAGCAAATTTTCTTCCCAAACCTTGTTGTTCCATCAAAGATTGGAGGTGGATCTGAATGAGAATCAAGAGCTGGTGGAAGAACCTCGTGAACACTTCTGCATACAGAGTAACACACAAGAAAACTTCAATCTTGAAATTGCAAGGTTCTAAGTTTCTAAAACCAATTAATTTGGCTAGAACACAAGTAATACCAAGACAAGAAAAGTGTATAGATCCATATTCTTTTTGTTAAGTTACTATTACAGCTAGCAAATTCACTTCCTTTCAACTGGTGATTGCCATTGCAGCTAGTAGTTAGAGATAACTCATTAGTCATGACAACAGAAGCCCAGAAAAAGCCAGAAAGCAAACAATTTTCCTACTTTATAGCTAATGTTAGTTTGGCAGAATTCAATAGAATTCCCCTTCAACTGTACATTTATTTTTCTTTTTGTTGTAAAACTCAAAACAAGAACTAGTGACAAACAGAAAAAGACAATTTTCTACAGGACAGGAAAGCTGAAATCTATTACAAACCCAGTTGCCATTGCTTGGGATATCCTCGTAGTTTTCTTTGCAGCAGGCAATGGACAGAAAGAGCAGTGAGTTTGACAGGGAAAAGACAGAACTGCATGAACTTGGACACAGTTTCTGCCACGATAAAATGAAGATAAGCCAGTGCTTCTGGGTAAGATTCTTGTTATTTGATTGGAGGAGGAACCAGGGCCAATACCACTGGAATAGCTTATTTTCAATGCTGCCATGTCTTCAGTTTTGGGCAAGTGTTGGTTGGTAGGAGACTCTGATGTTTAGTTATTTTCTATCTGTTACATACCTAAGAAATAAGATTAAGATATTGTCTCATAACAAAATAAAATTTAATTTACTTTTCTAAATAAAAATTACTCATTTTCATTAATAAATACAATAGAATTACTTCTCAAACTATAAATTTGTTATTCAAATCCGTCCCAAGCTCAAAAATAGAGTACTAATTCTTTATATAATCAAGTTGAATATGCGTGAATATCCGTTTAAAGAATACCCATTGCCATTTCTTTCTTCAACTCACACCTATTGGCTTCTTTATAGAAAATCTGAGCGTAGAAGGAATGTTTTGTACATAAACTTTGGCTAGAAAAATATGTAGGGAAAAATGTTTTACCAGTAATTTAGTTACTGAGAAAATTGGAAAGCAGCAGGGACTTTGGGGAGTTTCAAGTTGTATTGACCCCCACTATTGCTCAGGAAATGAAGAGATTTTGGAGTAGGACAATGGAAAATACGGATACTATGAGCTAGAACTAGAACCAGATTGAAGCTGCAGACCAGCTAATATCCTGATATTCCAAGAAACAAGAGCCAAAAGAAACCTGTCCAAACCCCTTATGGTTCAAGCTGCTGTGCCTTTAGCCAAACGGACCTTCAGAGAGTCCAAGTTTCAATAAACTTGTGCAACAGTATACATAGTACAATCATCTGGTAATATGATTTGGCATAGGGATGAAACTAGGAAGCAAGAACTGAACCACAGCAAACATGTAATTACAGTTAATGGCAAAATTGGTACCATTCTTAAGGCAAACGGATGGATACCATAGATGTCAAATGAATTTATAAATTTTCAGCTATCATGTGTCAGTCACCAGAGCAAACTTCCAAGGACAATTTCTCTTTAGGCACTCTCTAACTGGTAACTACCATCTATAGAAAATTCTCTTATGGCATTAGGGATACAAGTTCCTGGATTTCGTGCTATACATTGGAAAAAAAATCATTTTCAATTTCTTCTCTTTAAAAGGAAAAAGAAAAAAGTTTTCTTGATACAAAAGGAGAGAACGCGCAGCATGTGATTTGAGGTCCAGGACCCAGCTGCACTAGGAGTTGTCATTTATCCACCGCCAGCTTGGATTGAAACCATGGGTCCACGCCAGTAGCTGCGGCTTATCAGATGGGAATCCAGAAACAAAACAACGACTGTAATATCATCATGAAAATGTCTCCTCACCCCGCGGTCAATCTTTTTCAAGTCTGAGTATCTCATTTCTCTCTTCTTTGCTGCTTCACGAAGTACCGCTTTGACAAGTCTCCTGGCAATACCCTGTGTAATCATCTCTTATAAGTATATCCTGAAGCAACTTAATTATCATAAGAAAAGATGACTTCTATATTCCAAGTGAACTCGATATATTACTCAATGTATATATAGGGAAAAGAATAAAAAGTGAGAAACTTTGACATGTTCTGCTTTAGTAACATGTTGAGAATTACACTAATTACATAGCGTAGCGAAAGCCACCAGCAGCTGCTTCTAGGAGAAGGAACCATTTTCTAGGTTGCAGTAGTAAACACCTAGTTGACTGTACAGAGAAGAATTTACATTACTCAATAATCACCTTCATTTGTTTATCACAAGATTAGAAGGTGGTGGAAGTGAGAGGCCCAGAGTTCTTACAACCCATTAAACTAAAACAGAGGACTGCTAGTTCTGATAGTATTAAAGCCATCATTTTAGAACTCAATTATAAGGACAACAACAACAACAGAGCTAGTTTAAATACATCAAAATAAAATCACAAAAGAAACCTTACATTCCGTGGACAGGTGTTGACCATGTTAACTGCCTCCTGATTGCTTAGGTGTTCCCATAGACCATCTGATGCAAATATTAGAAACTGATCTTCAGGATGGAGTTTCTGCACTAATATTGCTGGCTCAGCTTGTAAGATTGGCTTTTGGAATGGTTCTGGAAGTCTAAACTTTGGCAATAGAGGTTCTTTGTTGAATTCTGCCTTCTTTAGATAAGCATCACCAATGGATCTTGAAATCTGTCACATAACATAGTTTGGTCAATGGACTATGAATTTGCACTGCTGCTTGTGTAGATCATGCTAATTCTCTGTCAGATAGACAGTAATTCAAATGGCAATCCCTCAGAAAAGTTCCTTTAAAAGTCATGAAAATTTTAGATTCTCAAAATATAATATTCGGATAAAGTTTCATATATCAAAACATCAGTTAAGTTGTTAATTAACTGGAAATCATTCCCATGATGACTACAAAATGGTCACTTCAGCAGGTGAAACATGCACTCCTTAGTAATTCTTGACTTCATCCTTCCTCAACATTATCAATAAAATCCCTCTACATCCCAAAGTAAGTTTTATGATGATTACTGATCAAAACCTAAAGCTTGTTCTCCTGGCAGCACTATTCAACCCATACAAGTATTCTTGTCAAATGTTGTTATAAACAAGGGAACAGTTTCGGATTCTGGTCTAATCCATAGAAAAGATATAAATAAATGAATAATTAACTGAATAAGTAATTCCAGAAGTTGTTTCTTAGATGGTAAAGGGATTAGATAGGATCAGGATTGCTATCTGTCATGAGTCTATATAAGCAAGAATTATAAATAGCACTATGATTGTGTACTAAGAAAATAAACACATAGACAAATGCAATGCTCCTAGAGAAACGTAAAATGACAAAATATTCAAAATTCTGGAACCATGTAAAGATAGAAAATGATTAATATTCCAGTTGGTATGTACTGAAATATACTCTACACAGCAGGCAGGATACTTGGAATGAGAAAGTAATTCACCAATTTTTGTCAATTCAAAGTGGTTGCATCAATGTCTTGAAAACAAATGTTTCTTGAAACAGTAATGGAAACAACAAACTCTTAAGAAAAAAACACAAATATCCCAAAGACACAACAAATTACCTGTATTATACCCTTCACACGCCACACTTTGTGCTTCAGGACCACAATCTGTGGATCATCAGGATGCAATGATCGCAACTCTTCCCGCACAGATTCCGCACTTGCATTGTGCTCAGATGATAACTGAACTGCTTTGACCTCTTTAAAAGCTTTTTCCAGTCTTCCTAACACCACTCGAGAATCTCCTGCATTTGCAATGTATAGCAGTCCACTACAAATTATTCCTACCAAACAACATGCACCAACAGAAGCAATTTGTGGCTTACTTAGCCACTGCTTCTTGACATGAGCAAGAAAATCCTCTTCGGTTGCCAAAAATGCTTTGTTGATTACATCAGCTGACATTCCATGATTCTCAGATGTAAACTCTGCACCATTAATAGCTGTCAAGTCAGTAAAAATATGCATTAGCTATCAAAACTTAGAAACTAGAACTAGAAAGGGGAAAAGAAATTTTGATGTTTAGGGTGAGGTCAGAGCAAGGGATCAGAGTGGAGTCCAAATTTGACATTTATCACTAAATTATAAGAAATTTTGTGTTGCCTCTATATTGTTGAAATGAAGCAGACGAGGAGGAATAGATGAATTCTCAACCTCCAAAAACATATTGATGCTTGACTTTCAAAACTCTTACAAGATCTTTGCTGTGAGGTGGCATAACTTAAGACTATTGCACAAACTTCAGGAACTTATAGATTCAGATGTCCTAGTTCTAATTTCTTGAATTTGCACAAAAACTAAATTTTCTTCCTTTCTTCCAAAGCAAAACATAGCACACTCGTTTTTATATGAAGATTCTTCCCAACCTGTTCTACAATGTGTAAAAATATTCTCTATGTATGTCACCAACAGTAACCAAACCCCATTCAAAATCTGACTTATGACTGCAATAAAATATAAATCTTCTTGAATTCTGAAGTTCCGGCCTCAGTCAAACATGCCTACATCAACCTCATTGGTCCTCCTTTAAGGTGAATGATCCAGCTTTAAATATCTTATGACTATCAAATATGAAGTTTTCCAAGACATTCAATGGAAACAAGCCAAGATGTGACTCATCAAACATCAAACTGTATCCAATTATATCAACAAAATAACAGATTAAGATTCAAGTCAGCAAAGAGGAGATAGAAAAAACATACTCTTGATATGGCCAAAAAGGTGTTCAGTTATAAACCTAGCAGCTTCTGGACCTCCATGACCATCATAAATTCCAACAAATGTCCCATGAGGCCCTGATTCAACTGAGCTCATTGGACCTGATTCAAGCTGGCTATAGTCTTCCAAAAGATTGTTTGCTTGAATCACTGCCATTGAAAACTCGCCAGTAACATGTTGTCCTGAATCTTTGTACCACAACAATCCATCAACCCTACCATTAGCATCCCCACCTCTACTAGAATTTTCACCCTCAACAGAAGGCCTCCAGCAGGGTGACACAATTCGCATTAATGATGCTGATACCATAACTTACATATTCTCACCCAAATGACCCAGCAATCAACTTGTTCATAAAATCAACACTGGGAACTCTATTGACCCTAAGAATTTGCTCCCGTTTCTGCTCAATTTCCCAACCCGCAACAGAAGTTTCAGAAATCAAAGACACATATATAAATGCAGACAACATTAATCTGCAAAGTTGCAATAAAAAAATTATAAAACCTTCATTTTAATCCCATAAACTGCACAATTCTAGACAAATCTTAAAGACAAGCATTATGAACAGCACCATGAAATGGTTATACACATGAACTGCAATGAATTCAGGGAAAAAAGAATTTAGACACCATCAATCCATATAAGCTTTTGGAGATCCAACAAACCCAAACAAATGTCCTTGAAATCTACGACCAAGAAACTCCATGATTAGAATTCCATATTGTCAACATCAAAGTGCATTAAAATGGCAAAAAATATAAAATGATGGCATGTATAGAAATTACAAAAGTGTGAACCTTAGAAAAAATTTAAAAAAAAAATTCAGACACCAATCAACTTGTACAGCATCGATGAACTTAAAAACCATGACTAAAATTCCATATTAAGACTCCCTACATGCATTAAAATGAGAAAAAAAAATGATGGTTAAGTCCAAAGAAATTACAAAAACATGAAATTTGGAACAAAATTAAAAATTTTCAGACACCTAGCAATCTGAACCTTTAAAGCATCAAACAAAACAACGACAAAACTCCACATTGCCAATCTTTGCATGCATTAAAATGGAAACAAAATGATGGGTATTTCTAGAAATTGAAAAAAAAAATGGAACTTCAAATAAAATGTAAATTTTTAGACACCCATCACCTTAAAAACATCAAACAAAAACAAACAGCTACATAACATAATCATTGAAAGAAGATCCGACAGAGAATTTCTTCTTACATACCTTATGAAACAATGAAGAATTTCGTATGATCTTTTCAGTTACAAGCCTGCCCAAGAAGACTCAAAAGACCCATTATTTTTGAAGGATTGGGTAAACAAAAGAATCAAATGAAAACAACAACAACAACCAAAAAAAGAGGTGCGGAGGGAATGGAGAAGATATTTTTTAGAAGGTTTTGAGACAAAACAAAACAAAGAACAGAAGAAAAGGGTGTAAGAAGATTTGAAAGGTAGATTTGGAGAGAGATTTTAGACAGAAAAATAAAAAGAAAAACCAACAAAAAAAATAGAAGAAATTTTAACAAAACAAATCTAGAGCTTTGGGAACCATCATAACAAGGAGGCTTTCTATATTTATTTATATATATTTTCTCATTTTCCCCTTTCTGTGGGTTTTTCGCTTATGGTTTTGGCCTTTTGGGTTGAATTTTTTTATTTTCAGTTTTTATTTTCTAAATTATTGGCTGTGCGGGGGTTTTGACTTTGACCGTCAACAAACCAGCATTTTAGGCAAGGTTTGCTCATCTAGCTTTCTCTCCCTTTTTTAGCAAAACTTAAACTAATGGAATTTCTTCCTTCTTCATCATTTCCACGATTTATTTATAAATAAAATTATTTATTCTCGATATCAAATAAATTTAAATCTTTCATCAATATTAATTATTGTTCCAGTGATAAAAGAATTTGATCATTCATTAAATTTCAACTCAATCTTAAAGATTTTTAAACAAATTTTTACTCTTTTATTACGTTTAATCAAATATTTGTATTTCTATTTTAAATTAAATAAATTTTTATAATTTTTTAAAAATTAAATTAATTTTTATATTTATTATTTTATATCACAAGATATTAACATGACATATTAAAATATTATAATTGATAATAATTTAACATGTTAATACATAATAATTAAAAATAACATGACATATTAATAGGATATGATAATATAATTATATGATTTTTTTACTTTTTATTTTAACACCATATTTATATTATATGGATATAAAATAACAAGTGATATTTTAATTAATAAAAATTAATTAACCTTTAATACTTAATAAAAAAATAAAGATTTTATGTAAATAAATTTGTGTGTGGGACATTTGGTCAGGACAAAATGCAAAAGGCAAAGGATTTGAGGGTAGGTTCTATCTTTGCCTATGAAAACAAAAAATAAACAATCAAATTATAGAATAATTCGGTGGTCAAATTTAGGTAAAGATCTTTATTAATAATTAATTAGATTAATTAGTTGATTGATTAGGTTAAGTGGGTGGTAAGTTTCCAAATGCTTGGATTCTCTTTGCATTATTCACTTAATGGTGATTGCCAAATGGCTGGAGGTTCTCTTTCCATAACCTGATGAACAAAATGATGATAAAATTAGGAAAATTTCATAAACTATAAGACAAAATAAAGTCAATTTCTGATAATTAAGTTATCATCTAACAAAGATACAAAACCAGGGATCCCATGATTGACATTAGCCCCCCTTTTATCTATTGTAATTTTTATTTTATTTTTTAAAAAATAAAGAATTTGAATTTATTTTATTAAAAAAAATTAATGTACTTATCATTGAATAAATTACTCGATGTTATTATCCATGAAAGATTCTATTTATTTATTTATTTTGTATTTGCTTGCCAAGCCCATGTGACATGAGTCATTATTATTATTAATTTATTTATTTTAATTTTAAGACAACACAAAAAAAAATTTTTCAGGTCTTTTATTTAAAGTTAAATTAAGATTCTCTTTCAAATCAAGTGCAACATATTACTATGAATATTATGGCTCGTTGTTAAGTTTTATTATTGTATTTTAATTTTATTAAAATTTGTCATTATATATTTAATTTTATCTATTTTAAATAAAAATAACTGAAATGAAATATTACAAATAGTAAATTTCGTTACTATATTTTGAATTTCATTGATTTTTAAAATAAAAAGTATTTTACAAAATATTCTGTTAATATAGTGAATTTTCATTAATAATGTTGCTTTATACAATAAAATTAACAAAATTAAAAGTATATTTGTAAAAATTTAACAAAATTGAAGTACAATGATAAAATTTAATGTTGAATTATACAACGGTGATAAATTTGACTTTAATCTTGAATTTATCTTTCATTTTTACTCTTTTTTTTTAAATGGTTCTTCATGATTATTAAAGGTACGAAAGTTTGTTACAAAATTTATATTCTGTTGGATAAAATTAAATTTAATATTTTTATTATCTACTTTTTCAAAATTATTAAAAAGTGAAAGAGAAAATAAATAATTAATTAAAATGTAGCACACATTAAAATATAATTATTTTATGTAAAAGTAAAATATTACTTTTTATTTTCTGAAAGTTTACATTTCTTAATTTTTATTTACTCTTGTCTAAACATAATTTTTATTTTTTTAATTTTTAAAATTAAAAATTAGAAAAGAAAAAATAATAAAATATTAATAAAAATGAAATTAAAAATTCGGGGGAAAAAAAAGAGACAAAAATCTTGCGTTTTAACATTTGGCGGATTCACGAAGGACGATGTTAAACCATTGTTGTCCCTACTTCACTCCCAACTGCGCTCCTCTTTATCATCCAATCAGATCAAGCCACGTCAACTCTTACGCAGCCTACGCGACGGTACGGGCACCGGCCGAGTCAGTCATGGCCGCAGCCAACTCAGTCCGAGTCGCCGCCGCTCAGATGACCTCTGTCAACGACATCGCCTCCAATTTCTCCACTTGTTCTCGCCTCGTCAAAGTAAAGTCAATTGCTTCATCTTTTGTTTTATAAGTATAATTTAATTTGAAGTCTTCGAATGAAATTTGTGTTCTACTTTACGATTTCTTTCGATGATCGAGATTTGAATTAATTTTTAGTATTGATTTATTCGATTTTTATCGAAATATGAATTACTTTTTAATAATTGTGTTTGCTTTATAGTCACAATTAAGGTAAGCAAAGAGTAATCAGCGAAATGCAAGTAGCAAAAGTAACAATCTAACAAAGCGTAAATAGTAGAAAGCAGCAATCCAATCGGATAGAGTGGAAGATGTTGGTGTTTTGAAATATTAGGCTGATTTTTTATTTTTATTTTTTGGATTTTTCTTTAATTGTGAAGGAAGCAGTTTCAGCTGGGGCTAAAATGCTTTGCTTGCCTGAGAACTTCTCCTATGTGGGTAGCAAGTCTGGGGATAGTCTTTTGATTGCAGAACCCTTGGATGGACCTGTTATGCAAAAATATTGCTCTTTAGCAAGGTGGTAACTTTTGGTTGCTGTTATTTACTCTTGGTTTGTTTATCCTATATGCCTTATTTTATGCAATTGTTTAGCAATTTTGTTTCTTCCACTGCTTACTGATTATATTTCATGAATCTTATCGCTTCTAGAGAAGACAAGAAGAAAAAAAACTGGAATCATGGCTGTCAATAGGATCCCTCTCCACTGTTTTTAATTTCCTCTTACTGCTTTGATTGGGACTCTCTGTGCTTGTTAACAATTTTTCGTCTCTTGAGATCTGACTTATTTAACCTCATGAATGCAGAGAATCTGGCATTTGGTTGTCCCTTGGAGGCTTCCAAGAGAAAGGGCATGATGATGCACACTTGCGGAATACACATGTTATAATTGATGATGCTGGGAACATTCGAAGCACATACAGTAAGATACACTTGTAAGATGGTTATAAGTTTCTCTGAGATACATTTCTTTTTTCCTTTTTAAACTTTCTTTAATTTGATATGGCATATCTCTCATGCATCTGTTGCTTTCGGTTTATTGACTTGATATTTTCCCCCAATTGGAAGGTTTGATGTGGATGTTCCTGGAGGAGCTGTATACAAGGAAAGCAGCTTTACAGAACCAGGTGAACTCCTTCTCATGTTGTTTTACAGTGTTGGCATGTTTCTCATATTTTTAATGTTCCCACCATAGCTCCTGATGAATATATAAAAGCGTTGAAATAGATTTTTCTTGTGACATCTTGTAAATCCATAAAAAGGCAATTCTAATGATTTTGCTTAAAAATGATGATAGCATTTTATGAGAGCGTGCCCTGTGAGTAGAAAAGCCATTTACTTTTGCAAAAGAAAGCTCTTTCCCTTGCAATATCTAATCAATCTAAATTAGCATGCTTTCAGGGAAGGATATTGCTGCAGTAGACAGTCCTATTGGCTGTTTGGGTTTGACAGTCTGCTATGATTTGAGGTTCCCTGAAATTTACCAGCAGTTAAGGTTCCAACATGATGCACAGGTAGAATTGGACTTCTTAACTTTCCGATATGGTTGTTTTTTCAATGTCATGAAACTTGCTCCATGGATTGTGTTTTTAGGTCATATTGGTACCTGCAGCTTTCACCACAGTTACTGGTCAGGCACATTGGGAGATTCTTCTTCGTGCCCGTGCAATTGAGACTCAGTGCTATGTATGGAATCCATTTTGACCTCATTTTTTGTTAATCTGTCTCTCAATTCATCGTTTTGGTGACAATTTATTGTTTCCTCTATTGGCAGTATAGCTTTTGTTCTTAAGTGTAGTTTAAGGACAAATTTAGTTCATTGATGAGCCCATCTTTTAAATCCATCTTGTTATCTGTTGCTTCCTTATTGGGAATGACTAAAAGAATTCATCATTAGGTCATAGCTTCTGCTCAAGCTGGAAAGCATAGTGAGAAAAGAGAAAGCTATGGCGAGACACTAATAATTGATCCATGGGGCACTGTAGTTGGCCGATTACCAGGTTAGATGGAGTTGCCCTTTTAGTAATCCAATTATCATGTAGTTATTTCATTGGAGCAAGCAGTTCTTCTTCCTCCAGGAATAAAAAGTTTAATATTAATTGCTTTTTCATTGCTTCAGGGCATGCAGTGGCATTTGTTTTGGCCAAACATGGTGGCAATTTAAGCAACATTAATTTCATCATTTCTTTTTTGTTTCAGATCGAGTGTCAACAGGGATTACTGTAGCTGATATTGATTTCTCATTGATTGATTCAGTAAGGGCAAAGATGCCAATTGCTAAGGTAATTCCTATCTATTTCTCTAAGGATCTTAAAAATATTGCCATTCCTGGCTCTGTATTTAGACAATATTAGCTGTAATTAGTGGGATGGTCCCTTAAACTTTCATGCCAGCTTGATGCTTGGTAGGCCTGATATCTACTAATAGGCCCATATGCTTGACCTGTAGATATTTCTATACACGGATGAATTTACAGTTTTTGCTTCCATCCAGTGTAGAAAGTGGATCTAGCTGGTGATACATAGTGCTTGTTATTTAAGTAGTTGGCCTAGGTTCAGCCTTATACAGATTATGGTAAGTGTAGTAAACACAATAAGAGAGATGCATGTAGGTTAGCCAGTCCAAGAGGATTTGCTGGGTGTACCATTGACTGTCATTTTTTTTTTCCAGCATCGGAAACCATTTGACTTCTGGAGACCTGCATCCCTATGATCTTGAAAGGACGGTCTGCTTTTTGGCAACCACTGTCATACAGATGCAAGCCAAAGCCATATTGAACTCCAAACCTACTCAAAAGTGGGAAATAAGATGCCTACCCCCTGTTTTTCTCAGGAGGGATGATACTTTCTTCTTTTTGTAAATGAACTAGTTATAATTTATTCATGCATCTTTGTTACTCTTTTAAATCTTAATACTTATAGTTAAGTAGTATTCTGCAACTCTTCTTGTTACAAGTTTCTCACATCAATTAGCATCGCAACTTTTTATGTAAAACATGTGATAAATTTGAGAAAAACACAAATTTTATGGATATGATCAAGGTTCAAATTCCTTTTCTCCCACGACTTTTCTCAAGAAAGATTACTATAGGTCTCATATTCGTCCCAAAAAATATTTTATGTACATCCATACTTTTATATATACTTGAATCTGTACAAACTATTTTCTTTTTGTCCCTTTGATTGCTTGTAATCTGATAGGAATGACTTATACATAAAGCCGGCAAATGGGGCAATTCTGAGCCTCTGCCAGCCACTGCTCGATGCAAAACTTATGGTATGTATGTTTACAGCGGGGAAGAACCCTGCATTCATCCTCGTTCTCAAACTTTTCAAGGCAGATAGCACAATCAGCATTGTAGTTTTCTCCAGTTTCTCGAGCGGTGTTGCTGTTGTATGTGACGAGAACAGTCCTGGAAAGTAAGGCTGGCAACGGTAGCAGCAGCTTTAGCTGAGCCATGGGCGGCTGGGGGTTGCTTGGTTGCCCGGTTTCGATATCTTGGGGTGGTTGTCAACGACGTTGGAGGGCCGTTGTGCAGCAGGAAACTAATAGTGCTAAAACTAAGAAAGTTAATGGTAAGACCATGCATATAAAGAATATTATTAGGAAAAGCAGGATAGCAGGGTCAAGAGGATATGCCATGGTTGGAGACTCGAAACAGGATTTGCTACGGTTTAAGAGCCTTTTGAGTAAAGGTGATTTCGTCTTCTCGACTAGAATCGCTAGCCTGTTGTTGGTGGGACTTTTATAAGTTACGGGACACCAAATCCAAATTCAATTTGGATTAGTAGTAATAAAAGCATTTACGTTAGATTAAATATCTAAATAAGTTTTTGAACTGTATCAAAAAGGTAATTAAATGTCTGTTTGATCTTGCTTTTTTTTCAAAACTTATTTATCTTCTAAAAATATAAATCAAGTCAAATAGAGATTTTGAGAAATTTTTTTAAAATAACTTTTTTTAAAAAACAAAAATTTTAAAAAAACTTCATGAAAAACTCTAGAAGTGAGTTTATTTTTCTATTTTTAAAAGCATGTCTTTATTTTAAGAGAATTTTTCTTTTTATTTCGAAAATATTTTCATTTATTAAGAATAATCTCCATATTACCCGTTTTCATTTTCATATGATTTATTATTAATTATAAATTTTATATTATATAAAAATATTTTTTTAATAATTTATCTATAAAAAAACTTATAAAAATAAATTTATCAAACAAATTTAACTTAATGTTAAAAGTTATTACTTTTCATAAAACCTTCGTAATAATTTTTAAGTTAAAAAAAGTTGAGCCAAATAGGTTCTAAGTCTCTATTATTTTATTGTGTTTAATTAAATTTTTAAATTTTTATTTTAAATCAAATAAGTCTCTCTCACTAATTATTAATTAATTTTCATTAGTGGATAGCATAATTGACACTTTTTATATCACATTATCTACCATGTAATAAGTTGACATGTTATTTTGAGTGATTAGTTCAAAGTTGTACTTTTATAATTTTTATATATAATTCATCAAAGTAATAATAAATTTAGTTTAGATCACTTTTAATTTTTTTTAAAAATAATTCATAATAGTATTTTAAAAAATTTCGGTATCAAAATCTGCATCCATCTAGTAGTAATTTTTTGGTAATAAAAAAATTCATATAAATTTTGCTGTATAAATAAAATTTTTTTAAGTAGTGAATGTATCTTAACTAATAAATTTTATTAAAATCAAAATCAACTAATATAAATGAATAAATTTTATCTATACCTTTTGTGAATTCAATTTTTTTTCATAATATTGTATAATTTGTTTTCTCAATTAATATTATGTGAATAAATTTTGTTCTTGTTAGGAGTTATATTGTTAATATAACTTAACAAAATTAGTAAAATACCTTTTAAGTGTGAAAAAATAAAATAATTTATGAATTGAGAGTATTATGATAATTTTAATGGATGAAATTAATCATGTAATCATTGTTGAAAACATAACTTAATTATAAGATATTAATTTAAAAAAAACAAATCATTGTTAAATGAAAAAGTTTGAAATAACGAATAAACAAAGTAAAGTTTATTTGATAAAAAATTAATTATTCAAACAAAAATATATGACTAGTGCTCTAGTCATGCAAATTTATTGGTTTTTGACATAGGATATATTTCTAGAATAATTTTTTTTGTAAAACTCTCATGAGTACGATCGATTTGATTCATCGACTTGATTTTATATTCAGATTAATTTTTGAATTAAATTATTTATACTTTTAATTCAAAGAAATACACAACAATTTATTGAATATATACAAAAATAATTATTTATTGAAACTTTTATGAATTTGAATCGATTAAATATGCTTTATCAAAATGATTTTAGAATCATATTTAACTTAACTTTTGCATTTTGATTATTGATTCCTTTGTTATGATTGTTAAAAACTTATTTTTCTTTATATATAATAACAAATAAAAATAAATTATAAACTTAGCTTTCTTTTCAATTTTTACAATGATAGTTTATATTTAAAATTATTTTTATTAATCCAACATTGACTAAAATGGTTACAACATTGAACTCATAATAGATGAGTCATCTGATTTTGATAATTTTACTATAAATAAAAAATAAAAAATATAATATCTAAAAAAAATTTAAATTATTTAAAATTTTTGAATAATTTTTATTTTTTTATAAAGATTTAGTTAAATATAATAAAAGAATTATAAATTTTTTAAAATAATTAAAAGAAATATTATGTCAGTCATGATTGATGTCTTCTACCTCCTAAAATAAACTTGTACACAATACACATCCGTTTCACTTATAAATAAAGACGGCAAACCGGGCAAGTCTGAGCCTCCGCCAGCCACCGCTCGATGCAAAATTTATGGTAAACGTGTTTACAGCTGGAAAGAACCCGACATTGATCCCTGTCGTGGAACTTTTCAAGGCAGATAGCACAAACATCGTAGTTTTGATCCCCTGTTTCTTGAGTATTCATGTTGTATACAACAAGAACGGTACTCCTGGAAAGCAGGGCAGTCCTGGGAACTCGGGCTTGGAACGGGAACAGCAGCATTGGTCGAGACACGGGCGGCTGCGGGTTGCCCCGTGGCCCGGTTTCGATGTCTTGGGGTGGCTGTCGACGTCCTTCAGGAGGAGCCATCTGGCAGCAGGAACCTAGTAGTAGGCGTAAGATTACGAAAGCCCATGACAGAACTGTGCAAGTGAAAATCGTTACTAGGAATATCAGAAAAATCAGTTCAAAAGGAATTGCCATGGTCAGAGCTTCCAGAGGTAAGAAGGGTTCATGAATTCCGTTCGTCGTCTACAATGGCGTATTGCTTTCTGACAGTTTTATAAGTTCTGGGAAACCAAATCCAACTTGAATGGGAATTAGTAATTAATTATTTTTGTTTAAGACGGTGAAGGAAACATATATAAGAAGAACCTCTTTGTTTCAAATTATAATAGATACCTTTTTGCTTAATTTTCAACAATTTTCACATCTATTTTATATTTTGTTTTTTGCATGGTTAAATTAAAATATAATAGTTAAAAAAGTTTCTAAATTATTTAAAAAAATTTAAATAAATTTTTATTTTTTTATTAAATTCAATCAAATCATAGTTTTTTTATTTAGAATCAAATAAAATCTTATAACTAACTAAATAAATACATGTTTGACTCAAAATAAAATATTTATTTAAATTTTTTAAAATGGTTTAAATTTTTTTTAAAATATTATATTTTAAATTAATTAAGTCATTAAATTTGTATTAATCTCTTCTAACATAAAAAATAATAGACATAATGTTAAAAAAAATCATAAATTATTCAAAAAAATTTATATAAGCATTTATTCTCTTATTGTACTTAATTAAATTTTTATATTTTTATTTTAAATCAAATAAATTTTTTATAATTAATAATTAACTAATTATTATTAATTAAAATACCAATTGTCATTTCATGATCATATTACATTATATCATTATATCACATCAATATAATATGTTATTATATATTTTAACATATTGATGATACGTGATATAAAATGATAAATAATATTTCAACTAACTCAATCATTAATAATAAAAACTTTTTTTATTCAAAATAAAAATCTATATTTAATTAAATATAATAAAAAATAAAAATTTATTTAAAATTTTTAAATAATTTATTAAAAATATTACAACTTTTTTATTTTGTATATTGTATTGGCAGAATATATAATCTAATGTAATATTTTATTCTTTCACAAATAAAAGTACTAATTACTTTTAAATAACTAATTACTAAATAATAACTAATTAACACTCGAACATTTAATTTATTGATTGATGCATTATCTTTTGCTTAAAGAGCAAAATCCAAATCTCTTTTTCTCCAATTATAAAAAAATAAAAAAAATACTAAATAAAGATTATTAATTGTAATGATGTGTTTCTACCTCAATTGAACGAACACTTTTGTACTTATTAGGGTTGCTTTTTCCCTTATTTGAGTACTTCTATGTATAGTGTGAATCTGCAATTATATGGTTTATATTAATGTAAATACAAAAATCACTTTAATTACAATAATTAGGAAATCCCAGCCTTCTTTTTGTGGGTCCCTTCTGCACTAGTGGGGGTCCACCTTGGCCCAAGCCTTCATATTTCCCAGCTTTGAAAGTTGATGCTTTCATTGCTTTATTTATATATATATATATATATATATATATATATAATTGTCCATGTTCATATGTCAACAAAATCCTGTCTAAATCAAGAAATGCATCTATATTTTGCATTTACACAACGATGAACACAATCAATGCAAACCCCATTCTAGAAGAAGATCATAATTCTTCTGGTTTTATGAGATGAAAACCAACCTACATACAATTTGATAACAAGACTTTTAATCTATAACAAAAGAATCAAGGTGTGTGTGTGTGTGTCCCCCTTTTTCACTTCCTGCTCACCCTAGACTTCATAAAGAAAACAGAAAAGGAGAAAGAAAAAAAGCAACCTCAAGAACAGGAATTCAAAAGTATAAGGCTATGAACAGTGAGGTTATCCACCCACAAACCAAAACCAACCTTTCTGTCAATCATTCCAGGAGGAATTCCCGAGCAGAATCAGGACTGCCAAGAAGGTCAAAAGTTTTGTTGTTGTTCAGAGTGTCTTTCAAGATTGTAATCTGACCTTCCTTTAAGAGTATATCCTCATCCAGAGCTTCTATCTTCTTTTTCAATACATTAACCTCTGAGTTCAAAAGCATGTTCTTCTCACTATACTGCTTCACCTCTTCCCAGATCAAATCTCTCTCTTGGGAAACCTTGGGCAGTATCCCCCTCAAGATGGTTAGTTCTTTTGTTGATTCCTTTAAGTCATTCTGAAGATGGCTTATGTTATCGTCTTTCTTCAGTATCTGCTCAGATTAAACGTAATTAAGGAATCAAAATGCTGCAACGGTAATTAGCCAAAAAAGTCCTACAAGCTTTTAGAAGCATGTCCTCTTGTGAAGGGTGATACAGTAGTAACAACAAATAAATGACCAATAAACTCAAGATAAAATACATGACCAGCTTCACAAATGTCAAGCAGCTACAGGGACAACTCATACCAACTCGAAGATACCTGTGCAGGTTCCATGATGTGTGTATGATTACACTTGTTGATTTAGTGTAGTTCTATAAAGTGGAAACTATTCTTTCCTCTAGTTTTTCCCATTCTGCCTTTCATTTCTGCTTTTGGCTTCTTTGTAACAATTTTGACTAGGGGACGGTACATCAAAAAATGTAAAGCAATTACTCATCCTCTAGCGGATGATGCGCTAAAGATTGGTTACTGTAAGTTCCATTAGAAGAGGTTCCAGCAAACAACGTAGCTGTTTTCAATTACAACAGGATTTCTAAACGTGCAATAAGTCAAAAAGTAATTAAACATTGGACCTAGAAAGAAACCTATTTCAGTGGGTAGTTACATTTTTGTACCTACCGTTCACATACAAAATAATCTATAACAATTTTTTCTTTTTTTGAAAATTTAATCTATAACATTTAAACATCAAAAGTTACCTGCAGTTCAAGATCCTTCAACCTGTGGGTGAGGCAGGAAATGTTGTCCATTGCATTTTGTACTTCACATCTAAGGATGTCATTACCTCGCACACCTGCTGCCAGCTCAGCTTGCAATTGCTCTACTTCCAGCTCTTTTGAATATAGTTTTTCCCTCAACAAACTTGTAAGCAGCGTTTCTGCTTTAAGCTCAGTTCTTATAATCTCCTAGAAAAGGGTAAAGTGAACATTAATAAAAGAAGTGAGTATACCCTTAAAAGAACACAACACGTCCAGTTTTGAAAGAAAGAAACAAGTCTAATGAATGAACAAAATTAAAAAGTAATGAACAATGAAAATAGCTTTATATTCATTGCATAACAGCTTCAACTATGAATATCAGCAATACCTCTGATGATTGATTGTTGAGTTTCATTGACCCATCAGGATCCACACATGCTGAGTGACAGTTCGAGCCAACTGGACTGGATTTCTCATGCAGCAAATTGGCTATTGTCTGCAAACTCCTTGTTAGGCTTTCAATTCCACGTTTAAAGCCTTGCACTTTCACATCAGATTCAACAATAAATTGACCATCCAGACCCTGGTGAGTTTCTTGAAGCTGACTGGCTCTTCCCTTGATGAACTCAATTAGCTTGGAAGACAAGTGAGTGCTCTCATTAAGCATAGAGAGTCCCTGATTCTGCAAACAGCATACACGACTCCGCATTTCCTTGTCTAGCTTGAAGGTTAAAGCACCAATGTCTTTTCCATCACCTTTTAAGCGATTCAACAAGTCGATATTCTCATGCCGAAGAGAATCAACTTCAAGTCTATAAGAATCCACTTCCCTTCTTAATGCTAATTCTACTCCAGTCAACCTCATTTGCTCCATTTGCAATTTTTTCACCTGCTTTTCATTCTTTTCCATCGATTGCATCTTCCCAATATCCTCACTGTATCCTTCTCGCAACCCTTCAATTGTTTTCTCTTGCTCACTGCAGGTTCTCAGTAACCTTGTAGTGGACTTTTGTAACTCCTTGCACTCTTTCTCTTTCTCTTCAAAATTTCTTCTAATGCAATCTAGATCTTCTATTGCTGCTCTATACTTCTGTTGTGACTCAGAGAGATTTTGCCTTAGATCCTGATTCTCATCACTTATCTCTTCCACCCTTCTAGCCAAATCTTTAAGTTGTTCTGCTGAATATGTCATAATACTTCTGTTTTCTATTTCCTTCTCATTAAAGGAAGAGACTTCTCTCTGAAGTGAAACGTTTTGCTCTGCTAGCTCTCTAACTCGTTCACGAAGCCTTTGCTCTTCTAACTGGTACTTCTCAAGCTTAAATGACCAATCACTTGACCTTCTGTCTAACTCTTTTTCCAATCCCGACTGTAACTCATGCTTTTCCTTCTCCAATTTTTTGGTCTGTGACTCCAATTCTGCCTTTGCCATTCTCAGTTCCTCCCTAGCAAAAGCTCTCTCAGCAATTCTAGATTGTAGAAGATCTGACACCTCAAGTGCCAAGTTTATTTTCTCCTCTGTTAGGCATCTAATGGTCTGAATGAGTGATGAAACATCAAAACCACTATCCCGTAAAAAGCTTTCCTGCGCAAGAGCTTCAGAAAGAAGTATGACCCTCTCCTCAGCTTCTTTAGATCTTCTTTGTAGCTCCACATCTGCATCCTCTTCTGTTTCATAAGAGTTCAAACCATCATCACTGCCCCCAGATAAACAATTTTGCTTCTCCAAGCTTGAGAAATCCTCATGATATCCAATAACATTTTCGTAAGGCTCATCCATTACACAGCTTTTTTGAGCCAACATATCCAATTTGGAATCAGGGCATCCATTCAAGTAACCACCATAGACATCTTCAGTTGTGATTGGAATATGATGGTTGAATTCCTTTGAACTTGATCTTGGGAAAGCATGAGTCTGTGAAAGCCTCTCAACCACGTTCTTTGCAATCTTCCGCGGTGACTCATGCCCAAATCCATTTTCCACCCAGTCTTTAGATGAGAAGTGAAGACGTGTGCCTTTAGCTTCCCTAAATGAATGAGACACATTTTTGTCTTTAACGCTATCCGTTGGAGATGAAGGGGCTGTATATTGAACTCGTGGCGGAAGCCTCCCACCGCCATTTCGAGGATTATTTCTTTGTGAACTGTTCTTGGACTTGCTACTTTCCTGCTGCTGTTCTCCATCAATATAGCGGTCAATAACTTTACTTGAT